GGGCCGAAATTCCAGCGATTAAGCTTTCCTTCTTTTGAGGTGCGTTAGGAGTAACAAGAGATCTCTTCAGTAAGTTTGGTTCATCAGCTCTCTTGAAATGTGAACAAATCAAATCAAACCTTCACAAAAGTTAAAAAGGCATTGTATAATTTACTACGACAACAGAGAATTTTATTATTATTATATTAGTATATTTCCTCCAACTCTTGACCTTTAGATTTTTTGTTCTTAGCAGCATCCTCAGCCATTTTATGCACTAATCCTCACAGTCTCTCGTGGGTTATCATAAAAAGACCACAAAGTACTGCATCAAGCGATCTAACGGCCTCAGCCATCAGCAAAATTTATACACGTCAATTCATCGCCAGGATTGCAAACTCTGTAATCAATAGTTCTCTTTGGCTTTCCAAATCAATTGTAAAAGACCAGTCAGCCCTTGCATGCACAGTTTTCAGAAGCCTGCTTTTCATTCTAGCACTAAAGGCAGTTTCAACGCAACGCTCGCCAGAACTGAAGCCCCTCGACTCTACGCTACCTTTCCAGAATAATTAAAAATTTCACTTAGGAAGAGAATTCATTGCTTACCACCTAACAATGGTAATACTGTAATATTGGTAATGTGCAATATCTGGTCTGAGAAAAAAGTAACACTTTTCACAAAAATCCGCATGTACTTAAGCTCTGTACAGTGTGGCTGTGCGGCATGAATGCAGTTTGTTTTAACGAAGGAGCAGAAACGACGTTCAACTGGGTACATCAGCTTTGAATTCGAGGCATAGTGAGGGTTATACGGCAGAACCGCACAAAGAACGACCTTTATTCTGTTGCGGGGACAAGCGACCTCAGTAGATGAGGAGATTCAGAAAAAGAGGTTGGCACTGTCAGACAAACTGGATGAGCTAAAACCGTTTGCTCTACACATCAACTTCTCGCGTGTCAGCCGAGTCACGGCCGACGTCGACCAGGAGGCCAACATACAGCGTGGGGGAACAAAGTAGAGGCAGGTCTTCTTTCGGCGAGGAATATTTCCTTCTGCAATGTAGTATCCGGCGCCTTATAGCAAAAGTGCTGAACAGCTGCGAATACAGCGGACATCACAAACCGCAGCCGGTCTGCTCATGCAAATGGCTTGAGATAATGATTTCAATAAGCATATACAAGCAAGGTTAAGAATAAGATCATAATCACAAAGATCACAAAATAACCTAAGTATCATGGGTTTACTAGCAAACTGCTAGTTTTAGATAACACCGGTAGGAATAACGTTCTGTTGTCAAATCTCTGGATTTCACACGGAGTAAGTGTTCCGTTCCCTTGTTTTTAACAGCCTAGGGGACCTAAATCGTAATAAAGAAATCTTTCACTTGTTTGTATACTGTATTCTCCGTGCCATATAGAGAATTGCTGAGATAGAAATATCTCCTGTGTTGGCTACAATGCGAAGGAGCGAATAAATTTGAACTGGAAATACATTCTCAAGCAAGGAATTCCGAACGCCTGCATTTCAAGTTCTTTCAGTCTTTGAATTCGATGAACGATTTCGTGCCGCTCTGAAACACTGTTTAATCTCTTGGCGACGCGTTATGTACTTCGCTAATGCCGGAAAAGTTTTGACAAGCGTAGATGGAGGAATTCACAACTTTAATGGCCGCAGCGTTGTTCTTTTAGGCAGCCGAGCCTTTCAGCCGACCTGTTAGCAGTATCTTGGTTTGAGTGCGATTTGAGGCGTTTGTCATCACCTCAGCTTCCGTCCGGTTGAATGTATGATCGAAGCTTTTATCCCTGACTTTGATTTTCGTAACTACGTACTACCACAAAGAAGGATTCGGCAGACGCCAGCGAAACTCTTTGCCAAAGAAAGCATGATTAAGTATTTTCACAATGCCTTCTACCTTCCGAACGAAAAACGAGCAATCACAAAGAAGACGAACGACAGGTAAACAACGTTACTCAATAGACAATGTTGACAGATAAAACTAACGGGACAGATGGAAAATGTGACGTTTAAAACTTGACGCAATAACTTTCACCAAGCTTGCACATCCATACCTTTATCTATTTAAGCCAAGGATGACATCTGTCACACGGCGATTAGCACTCCGTCTATAATCGGTCGAAACCGTCCATATGAACCTCAAACTT